TACTCAACTTCAAACCTTTACGTTCTAGATGGAATACCACAGCTCAGGAGAAACTTTGTTAATCGAAATAAAGGCAGGTAGTCTACACGTGGCCATCGAAATACATGTTTGTCTATTTCTATTGCCTTGGTCGCAGAAGTCTTGGAGGCCATGTAGTCGTGTAAGGCAGTTTCCGCTTCGACTCGGTTTGTGAAGGATTTCTCGCAAGGAGGTTACCGAGTTCCCTGAAGAAATGGTAGTCGGCAGGCGAGAAGACTGGATAGCATTGTGGGTTGTGCATCCCGGAAATTTTCGCAGCACCAGATCGTTACTTGTAACACACCGCCAAACAGCAAATGCGCTATCGTCTTTTAATAAATTCGACATATTTAGTGTTGGATCTTCAACTGCTTTTACCGCGTATGCTGTGTTCGAATAGTGAGTGATCTTCACGAGGCATCTCGGTTCTTTTGCTTTCTCCCTCCCCATTCTAGATTTTATCGGCTGTCATCGGTATTTTAAACCCTGATTCGGCTTCCGTTCTCGTATTCCATCCAATCGATTCTTTCACATTGCAGTGATTACCAGTGTGCAATTGTTCAAATGCACCGCGACATATTTATATGTAATGTGACGATGTTTAGTAGAGAACTAACTTGTAAGCTTCTCGCACCTTGCCTTGCACTTATCGTTGTACCTTGCACTGCTTGCCGTTGAAATCTGTGGAGACTGTGCTTTCGAACCTCTTTTCGAAAATCACTGTTTGGCCGTCATCAGTTCCACCAACCAGGAAACAGAATAGTATACGGCTTGTGCTTTGCACGAGAACAACTTTCTTTGCTTCTTGTGCTGCTTTGTACACCTTATGTTAAGTGTTCCATCGTTGAGGTTGGTTGAAATTGAACTTTCTGTAAAAAAAAGAACCAAGCGCAAATCAATGGTGAGCACTTGAAATATTCACAGTCTCTTAGAGATTCTGGTTGAAGCAAGTATCAGATTCGATCTATTCTGTTCACTCTGACTTTACTAGTTATCCTACTAGTTATTCCGTAAAGGAATTTGCGTTTTTTTTGCCTTTCGCTAACTAGCGTAATTTCATTTGCATGTAGTCGCTGCTTTCGATACCAGTGTGCTTACTGACTTGATACTTGGTTGGCCCGTCTTTGCTGGCTGTGCGGGCCTCAGCATAACTTTTATTTTTTCGGAGTTTTGGCTTACCCATTGCGGTTTCCTGGAGTCGCGATATCAGCCAGGCTGAAGTCTATTCCCATTTCGTCACCACCACTGGCAGTCGGCGCTCCATTGTACATCAGAGGGAGATTTGCCACCACGCGACCAGTTTGATACCTGGACGGTTTTGGATACTGGTATTGATTTACTCTCAGGAGATCTTCCTGACGGAAACGCTGGGCTCCTTCTTAGTTTGGAAGATTCTGCTGGGAGATATATCCCCACGCTGCACATCGTAGCCCGACACCCAGGAACACCTCCCATCCACGATGAGGCAGTGAACCGTTAGGAGGAACACTCCATTGGCTCAAAATATACTATATATAAGTGTAATACAATAAATGAAATAAATAATGCAATAAATATGACACAATATATGCAAATGTGTAAATACAAGTATATGAATGGTGAGCAATGGGGCGGATATCACGGTGGTGGTAATGTCCGGCATCACGAGCATGTTGCTTATTCGATTCTGCTCCGGGCCAACCAAGTCTCTCATTCCTCTGGGTTCGGAAAATTGGTACCGGACTTGTGCAAGAAACTGCAATCCAATTGGTAACGTTTCAGCCCGGCTATTTCAGGACTCCAGGGAGAATTGCTCAACCAGCATTGTACGACATTCAAGACGAAATGAAAATCCTCAAGCTGCAACCGAAGCCACGTGTTAGAACTTAGAAGATTTTCATAAATGATGGATGCGAGGAAAGGAATTGGATGTGAGAATTGCTGGGATCCGCACAGTAGACGTGAAAGCGGATCAAATAAAATAAAACAAAAAAAAGCAAATAGTGAGCATTCGAAATGTTGGTATTCTCCTGAAGAATCTGGGCGTGGCATGCGTAAGGGTCGTCCAGTTTTCTTTACCTTTACTTTATTCGTTAATGTGCTGTTTATTGCATGAAGGACTTTGTGTTTTCCCGCCTTCCGCTAGCTAGCGTAACTTCATTTGTATGCCGTTGCTGCCTTCGATTCCACCTTAACCTTGCAGTATTTTAATCTTGTGGAGCCACTACTTCATATCAGCCACGAACAATTATAGTCTAGTGAAATCTCGAAAGAACTTCAAATGTCATTTCGTCGTCAACGCAAGGCGGTTTTTGTCGCATTGGTGATGTTGTCGCCTGCTTGTTTTCTCATGTGTTAAATTTGTTTGCGTCATTGATTCTGAAATGTATATTCTGTCGATTACTTACTTATTACTAATTTTGATAGGCTAATGTTTTAGTTAGCGTTGAGAAGAGACGAAACGGCAGAAAGCGGCGAAACTGTCTGCAGTTTGCTCATCACAAAGAGTGCTTCCGGCTGCGTCATGGTGTCAGTCGGTGTCAAGTATGCTCGCGTTTCCTAAATGTAATATCTTTGCTCTCTTCCGTGCTTTTTGTTAGATTTTGTCAATTTTGAAATTTATTTCAGTGGTTAGAAATGTCTTCTTGCTATGCTGTAAACCCTTACAGTTTTCTATGTAATCCAACTAAGTTCTGATTTGTAGAGATAGTTCTATTTGGTGAATGAATAAAAAAATTTGGTTTCATTGTCCGTTATTCATCTATAAAGGAATGACAAATGTTGTGGTATGAATACTCGCTGATAGGCAGCAGTTCATCGATACCCTATTATGCCTTTGCTTCTATTGTGCTCTCGAACTATTCTGTTCAGAGCTCCCATCACTTCTTACATTTTGAACTTCGCTACCTACCGTTTGTGGGTAATCCTCATGTCTAGTACTGTAACGTTTTTGCATCAGAAGTAAAACTTCCTTTTCCTATAACTAGGCCTGAATCTGTGTAGCACTCAAACTGTGTTAGTGGAACAGCTCATTTCCAACATTAGAAACTGGAATTATGCTCTTATTTTTCTACTTCTGTTCAACAAGCACGAGGTGCTATTTTATTTCTTTATTTACGCACAAGCTGACGTTTCGTCGGTTTTCGCCTTCCTCAGAGCCGCTTTCTATGAATCTTCCACTGAGTATATCGCATGAAGACCGACCGCACAGAATTCACATGGAAGCGTAATGTGCCCTTAATATGCTCTTATTTATTATTTCATATTTCCGTTGCCCTTGCATCGTTGGATGCTAACCGATTAGAAAGCAGTTAGTTCACGATTTTTGTGAGTAATGGAGTCACCATTACCACTTTTAGTTCTTAGGCTGCGTCTGTAACATTTTAAGGAACAAGTTTCGCTCTACATTTTTATTTTATTGTTTTATTCTTGTATTAATTTGTTGTCAGCTGGAATTATTTCAGTAAAATTGAAAACGATTCGGGCAATTTTTTATCTTGTTTCTCACTGTCTTGTCATCGCCTCCGTTGGAGCTGGAGCCGCATAATGCTGCGTGCTAGTTCGGTTTTAAGACGTTTGTAACATAGATGGTAACTTTGAAGACCAAGAGGGTTTTCGATAAACCGATGCCACCAACGATGGCCACTTGGCCTAGTGCTGGAATTTGCGGATGTATAAAAACGTAATCCAAGAATGTGTAGATGAACGGGCGGTGCGTGTAGCGCGGTAGTTAGAGGGGATCTGCAATGCAGATAAGACTAATCTCTGTGCCATAGGATGACAAAATTCTCTATTCATCCGGGGTCGGCAAATTGATTTCAGGCCCGTCTGGGAGGATAGGAGCACCGAATCGATAATCATCATCTGTATTGCAGATATCGATATCGACATCGATAAGCTAACGCAAGTGATTATAAAGTGCATATGTGCATTTTATCACCTCTAACGATGCTGCTTAGTGGGGTCGAATGCATGACGCCTTCCTAAGAGATTCATCAATGCCGAGGGCTTCATCATTTATTCCTTTTACTTCGATGAACGTGAGTAAATTTGATCATGATCTACCATGCGAGTTCCAGGATGAGGAATGCAAGGCCTCTGACGAAAATCTACCTTGTCGACGAGAACTACCAAGAGCTATTGCAGGTCTTCTGGCACCTGCTGATGTTACCTCCACAGTGGCTTGACCTTATTAGGATGTCATTGACGCGTGTTTTTCTGGAGTCTACAAATAAATATTTCAGTGTTCGCAAGATGGCAACAATCAATGGGCTCTCCTTTCCCGAGGATCGTGATGGCATTTCTTCCGCTGCTGGATATTCGGCTGCTCAGATGGAGAACTCAGTCAACCACTTTCGCAGAAGCGCATGGGTTCGTCGATTCTTCCCACGCCTTGTCTTTTTCTAATTATTTTACTACCTCGCTTATTTCGTCCTCTTATCGATTTATCGATTTCGACATTTGTTCACGTTGTGAGGAGGATTGATGGTATTTTTCTTTGTCTTTTTCATTTGCACTGTTGTGTAGCCATGAAGTTTACATTTGTGCCTAATTAGATGATACGGCTACCGTTCTGCAAACTTCATCACTATTCTGGTTTTTGTGACCATATTATTAATTCTGTTATTTAAAGTAGTTTTTCTCATGCTCTGTGCTTTAACCCAGCTAATGCGACTTTATTTCTGGTACTGCTGGCTAAAGTGAATGGCAAACCTAGTCGCCCATCTTGTAAGTGCTCTGTTAGGATCCTCATGGTTAGCTGTCCTCTCATGATCTGGGTATCTTCGGGTTCACTACATGATTTTCCAGTTTGTTCTGGATGTGTTTTCTACCTACTCACGAAATCACAGTTTTTCGCCATGTGTCAAACGACTTTGAGGTCGATCTGCCGTGTGCATATATACTGTCTATACTATGGTACATGTAGTTTGGAAAAGTTTTATAGTGGACGGAGACCAAAGGCACAGATTCGGTTTTCCATCTCGGCCATAGATTTTACACTGAAATGTTTTAGATCGCACTGTTAAGGTATTGGAGGCAAGTTGACGTTGGCCCAAGTAGTATAGTGGTTAGTACTCCACGTTGTGGCCGTGGCGACACAGGTTCGATTCCTGTCTTGGGCATACTTTTGTGGTGGATGGAGATGAAAGGCACTGAGAAGGCCTGCCATGATAACCATACGTTTTGCTCTGAAATGTTGAAGACTGCGATGTTTTCCGGATACAAGGTGCTCAACTATTGGCAGAAGTACTGTAATGGCTCATAATCATCGTTGTGGTAGTACGCACTCGAGTTCCTGTAATTGGGACGGTTTTGTAGTGGATGGAGACCAAAAGCACAGATTCAGTTTTCTGCGTCAGTCGTGCGTTTTACACTGAAATGTTTCACACCGCAGTTTTTTCGCCATAGTGGATGACTAGCTATTGGCTGAGTTAAAAGTCCTATTCATTGTTAGTAACATTTTTTAGTGCATGAAGAATACCTTCAAACTCGTAGTGTTACTTCACAGTCGCTCATGAGGTTTACTTAAGTTGCTGTCTCTTGTGTTTTGTCTTGCTTGTCCTGGAAAGGAAAATCATTAGGAAGGTAGTTTTGTGAAAAAATTTACGTGAATACACGTTTTCATTTGGTACTTGCGTTGCGTATTGGCGATACTCTAGTTGCAAAACACTTCATCCTGCTTTCAGGTGAAAATGTTGTTATGGTGCTACTCATGCTTCGCTCTTCGACACCTTGAAACGATGGGGCAGGCAGCAAGGTACTGGGAAAGGAGGTAGTTTAGATTGCACTTAAAAGTTCATACATTTTATATAACAATGCTTTAGCCCTGTATAAAAAAAGCGCTGCCGAGTGAGTACGGCTTATTCGTCCGGTGTTCACCGAAAGACATACTTTCTCGGCACGACAATGAAGACACCACGTCGAGATCACGAACAACTGTGGACCACCGACACGGAACATCGGCTCTGATAAAGACGAAGAAGGTGAAACGTTAAACGAAATAAACCTATTTATCAACCTTGTGTAAGCGCAACAGTATAAATACAAAGTGATTTTAGAACAAAAGATATAAATCGGTGATAGCGGATGTATCCTATACGTCCTGTCCAGCTGAAAGATCATGGCAGCTCGATACTGCTACGGATATTGCCGGCATTTCGGACGAAAATGGTCTGTTACTTATGTATTCTTTCTTGATAAGCTTGCACGAGGTTGATAAATATATTTATTTTCGGCTAACGTTTCGACGTCTTCGTCTTCCTCAGAGCCGGTGATCCGAGTCGATGGTCCATGCTTGTTGTTCGCCTCGACGTTGCGTCTTCGCCTTCCTATCGGGCCAGATCGTCCTCAGCGAGCCATCTTCTCGAATGAGGCATCCTCACTCAGTGATGCCCTTTTATACACGATGCTGATGGTGGATATATAATGACAATGTCCGGTGGTAACAACTTGTATTTCTTCCGGACATACATCATTGCGCACATCGTGCAGAGGCTCATTCGAGAAGATGGTTCGCTGAAGACGATCTGGCCCGATAGGAAGGCGAAGACGCAACGTCGAGGCGAACAACAAGCATGGACCATCGACTCGGATCACCGGCTCTGAGGAAGACGAAGACGTCGAAACGTTAGCCGAAAATAAATATATTTATCAACCTCGTGCAAGCTTATCAAGAAAGAATACATATTGATTAGTCACACCGAGGTTTAGCGAAGGTCGNCGGAACATCGTCTGTGATAAAGACGAAGAAGGTGAAACGTTAAACGAAATAAACCTATTTATCAACCTTGTGTAAGCGCAACAGTATAAATACAAAGTGATTTTAGAACAAAAGATATAAATCGGTGATAGTGGATGTATCCTATACGTCCTGTCCAGCTGAAAGATCATGGCAGCTCGATACTGCTACGGATATTGCCGGCATTTCGGACGAAAATGGTCTGTTACTTACTTAGAAACCCGTACAAACTTAATTTTATTTACGATTTTTCAGTTCTTTAGCATATTTTCCATTCTATTAGTATTTTAGGGATTCTGGGAAATTCCTCTCTCCAGACCCTCAGGTTGTCATACGTTAAGCCCCGAAGAACCTCCTGTCGGTGTTTTTGCCAAAAAAAAAGGAGGAGCATTAGGAATGCTACCACACAGTGACAAAACCCAAGTGAATTCTCAAATGTAATAAATAAAATTGAGCCTGTGTGATTAGTAGAGCTGATCCAGTTCTACTTTTCCATCCTTAATTTATAAAAATACTCAGACATAATAAGTGGTAGTAAAAAGCATCACTTTAAACCATTAATGCTTTGCTTTACTGCTTGAATTGAAGGGACATTGTCTGTCAATATCCTCGGCGATGATGAGCAACGTTCAGAACTCGGCCAGTGGATTTTATCAACATATAGAAGATATTTCGCTCCCTACTTTATTTTTCAAGCTGCACTTCAACAGGTGACTTCATAGAAATCTTCTTTATTTTCCGTTATCATAATTCATGCTGGTGTTTTCCGCTACTCATGCACAATCACTATATTAAATGAACCCAAAATGGACTCAAAGGAAATGAAGGACCAGTAGCAATAGCCAAGGCCAGCACATCTATGGCGGTCACATTTTTTGGGTAAAAAAACGCTGCTTAGTTGCCCACCTACTCTCACATAATGCTATGCTACACACCGCCCTCTGATCATTATCATGGTGAAGACCTGTATACGTCCTTGCAAGGTTACGTCAGGACTCCAGGGAAGGCCAAGTTGCACGACCAGCAATAAGCCAGCTTCAGTACCACGCACACTGCATGTTTCCGTTTATGACGTTAGGTGGTGAAACGACCGGTGAGAAGCCAGAAAATCTCGGGTTTCGCAGGACGTCATTAGAACCGGGTCTGGCGAACACACGCGCGACAAGCCATGGAGATTGTTTCTTACTATGCACATATAATGCCAAAACACTCTCTATAGACACCGATCTTCACGCTCTTCTTGTAGCTGCAGATTGCACTAAATTTCACGTGATCGCACTAGAAGAAACAAAAATGAAGAAAACCGACATAGGCCAACTAAACACAGGGACCCTTGTGATCCGTAGAGAAAAGGTCCAGTCACGAAATGTCGGCGGCGTAGGCTTTGTCGTCCACCCGTCCATTGTTCATTTCGTCGACTCATTCGAAATCCTTTCCCCTCGCATAGCCGTCCTCCATCTTCAACTGTCGCATCATAAGAAAATCACGATCATCAACTGCTACTCACCGACCGATGTAGCTGATGAGAGCGAATTAAATGCGTTCTACTATCAGTTGGGGGAAGTCTTCCGCAATGATAAAGCACGTCATAAATTTGTTGTTGGAGACTTCAACGCCAGAATAGGAAAGACCAAAGAGAGCGAAGGCAGAATCGGAAATTTTAGATTAGGAGAAAGAAATAAGAATGGAAACCGTCTCGCAGGACTCCTGCCAGCAGCACGTCTCTTCCATGGAAACTCGTTCCTCCAGAAAAAAAGAAAGCCGCCGCTGGACATGGGATTCTCCCAACGGCATGCGGAGATCGACCATATCTTAGCAAATAGAAGATGGTGCCTACTTGACATATCGGTAGTCCTGTCATTCTGTACCGGCTCTGATCACCGCCTTGTTCGCGCGAAAATTCGATTCAGCCGCAAGCTGGAAAAGAACTCTCTTCACCGACCACAAGGAAAAAGTCTAGCTGTATACGACGAGGAAATTCTCAACGAAATCCTGTTCAAACGTGACTGGCGGATTAAAAAAGACCGGACCGAAGACTACGAGCTGCTCATTGAAGGATTGAAACGCTGTGCCGAATTTGCCTCAGTTCCTCAAGCAAGATCGGATCGCATCTCCATCACTACAAAGGAATTGTTCGAAAAAAGAAGGAAACCAAAGCTTGATCCTACTGTAACACGTTTAACATGGCAAGTAATAAATGCCAGTTGCAGAAAAGCTTCGCAAGATGATCTGCAACGGTACAAGCAAAAGAATTTACTGGAAGCATCAGAGAAAAAAAGTGGTCCGAAAAATTGATCAGGGATTCAGAGGGAGGGACCTCAGGGATTGATCAGTGCTAAGAGCTTTTCTTTTGTTCTATGCACAAAATATCTACGTGACAATGCAATGAGATTCGAAATGTGTGTACAACAAGTTACATGTTGCTCAAAGAGCAGTAGTAGTGGCATTACTACAACTACAACAGCATAAAGATTTACGTGGTCCTAGTCAACTATTACCAAAATACTGTTTTTTATGTCAATAGACATTCGTTGGGCTAACAACATCAAGTGTTTCAGACGATCAGCGTTTAGCGTAGCGATCTAAAGAACGGACAAACGATCCAAAGGTCTCTCAGCCGTGCCAGTCTGATTAAGGGGCCAAGGGCCTACGGTATATACGCGGCCGTGGGGATCGCCGGCGGCTTTCCCTTCACATTGCATAAATCACCTACACCGCTCGGTAGTGAGGTTATACAGCAACTATTGGTAGGGGCGAGTACGGAGAGGCTGCTAAAATCTCAGGGCCAATGGAAGCTGCCTGGATTTCGAAGAACTATGGTGACGATCTGTACCTACAATGCACGTACACTTGCGTTAAAGTCCTCCATAGAAGACTTGCTCATGCAAGCAAGAAAGATAAGGTACGACGCTATAGGCCTGGCCGAGACGAAAAGACGCCAGCTTTTCAACGGCGTTTATGACACCGGAGAAGAAGTGTTCCTCGAAACATCCGATACAAGAGGAGTCGGCGGCGTCGGCGTTCTAGTCAGCACGAGTTTGTCCATGAACATCGATTCATTCGAACAACTCACAGCCCGAATCTGACGTTTACGATTAAAAATACGTGGAACAACTCTGGCTTTGACAATCCTCGTCGTTTACGCGCCGACGTCAAACTATGACGAAGGAAAAATCGAAGCGTCCTATATGGACTTGGAGAAGTTGTGCAGAGAAGAACACACCTTCTTCAAAGTCATCATTGGAAATCTCAAAGCGTAGACAAAGAAGAACGTCTGAGGAACGTTACATTGGGACCCACGGATTAGAATGGAACGAACAGTCACTCACGAATACTACTCGGATCTCTTCGATAGCTACGTCCACCTTCCGTCGTATGAAATAAAGGAGGATGGATATGTTGTACAGCCAGTCCTTGTAAACACACTGGCTCAGCTCCTCACACGTTACCTGTCTGAATGCAGGGTCCCTACTCAATGGAAGACCAGCAAGACCGTCTCATTGTTCAAGAAGGGCGACCTGAACGATATCGGCATCTATCGCACAATCTGCTTACTGTCTGTCGGCTACAAACTTTCACTCGAGTCATCCTAAACAGGACTGACAGAACACTAGACAAAGGACAGCCATGTAAGCAAGCAGGGTTGCGAAGAGGATTTATTACGATGGACCACATCCACAGGGTAACACGGCTCATGCTATCACCAGACAATCACAGCTATCCACCATTAACAACCTGCATAAGAAGGCATCACTGAGTGAGGATACGTTACTCGAGGAGATGGCTCACTGAAGAAGTTATGACTCGATACGAAGGCGAAGCTGCTGCGTTGAGGCGAATAACAAGCGTGGATCATCGACTCGGATCGTCGGCTCTGAGAAAGACGAAGACGTCGAAGCGTTAGCCGAAAATAAATATCATTATCAAACTCGTGTAAGCTTATCAAAGAAAGAATACATATTGATTAGTGATACCGAGGTTCAAGGAAATTCGGTTTCGAAATATTACTACTTTTTGTTGGTAGTGTTCGTTTGCTGCGTCCACCAATCTGTCATCGTTAAAGTTAGACCAATTACCAGTTGAATAGGTGGATCAACGGATAGAACAGCGTGGTTCCTAAACTTTATCCTGACACAGTTACTGAAATTCATCCTAACTCATTTGCCTAACACCAAAGTATTTCTAGATCACTGACGGTATGCGCAGCCAAACAGCGTGCACGTAATGGAGTCATTCGATGTTACTTCACTTTAAACCAAGGTGTTGAGTGGCTCCGCAATGAAAACCATTTTCGAGCTGCTCGCTGAGCATGAAAGAAAGGTGGAAATGTACGGCTTGTCCATTTCTTAACTAATGACTCTCTTAAAACAGTGTCTTAGTTATAATCACAATCTTAACCCTTTTATTTATTGTCTTTTTCTTTTTAATGGCAGCGTATGTTGCGAAATATAACTCGTATATAATACTGAGATATTTGCAAAACTTCGGACCGCAGGTGTATGCGGTGGAGAACGAACACGCGCTGTTGTCCTTACCGGGGTGCAGCGCGCCGAAGGGCTTAGATTGTGATTATAACTAAGCCTCAGCTTAACTGGGTTCAATGCCGTTTTGGCTCCCCAGATCAATCCCGTTGATGGGTGATTGCTGATGGCAAAAAAGATCGATAGAACTAGCAGAGAGACAGGCAAGACGAAGGACCCGGATGGTGTGGTGGTGAAGTGCGCTGCTCCCCGGTAAGGACAACAGCGCGTGTTCGTTCACTACCGCATACACCTGCGGTCCGGAGTTTTGTAAATATCTCAGCATTATATATGAGTGTCTTAGTTGTTCAATCATCAGGTGGACTCGGAAATATTTTGCGCAACTTATAGTGTTGAACACTGGACAGCTATTAGCAGCAAACCTTGCCATCGCCTTCATGTCTAAAGTGGAAGCTCGAGTTCTCGATCGCCGACCATTTTTCCACTGTCGATACACAGGCGACTGCTCCATCGTCGGTCCCACAGAGAAAAAAATGGATGAGTTCTTTGAATTTTTAAGCAAATAGTCAGAGTCTATAAAATTTACACTAGAAAAACCAATCGAGAACTGGTCTCCATTCTTAAATATCCAAATCTCAGTAAGTGGGTCTCAGTAAGTGGCTATATAGCAAAATGGTATCGCAGGCCAAGTAGTAAAAACATACTAGTTCACTACCTCTCGCTAAAAATGTGTGCACAGAAGAGGAGGAAAGAAATTAATCGCTTAATTTGGCACTAAAAATGGCTACGAAGCAGAAGCCACTCGGGTCGGATGAAAAGGTAGAACTGTTGCCCAAAATAATGCTTCGAACGAAACAAAGATCCCTCTTAAGCCATCCTTCACATCGAATGAAATAAGTTACACCAATGACAGATGCTTTAAAAAAAGTGATCTTCAAAATTATTGGCGATTATTGACCTTCCACCAAATACCCTACGCCGTCAGTTAGTTCGAAACCGTCTCTACGATCGTTTGTGCAGCTCAGAAAACTGTATGACCTGTCCTAACGGGAGAGACGGGGATTACATGAGTTCAGGTATAATGTTCCTTATCTCATGTATCGCATAAGTCAGGAATATATTGGGGAAACGGGTAGACCACTTTGTGTCCGCATAAAAGAGCATCTAGATGAGAAAGTTAAAATTCGTCAATGCACTGCTCTAGCTATATACAGGGCACAAGAGCACAATGGCAATGGTTTAGAAGTGACTGTGGCGGACCCCAGCGCAGGAAACAAAGATATCAACGCGCAAGAGTCGTCTTAAAGTATTTTGGATAAATTTCAAAAACAAAACGATAATCCTTAAAGACCAATACCTCACTATCACACGTGACTTGGAGCCTTATTTCAAGATGATATTTCGACCTATCACTGTGTCCCGCCCTCGACCTTACGTGAACAACGCGTGAACCAGTCCCACTCGTAACAGCACGTTGAGTAGCGTTTTGATCAGTGTGGCGTTTATTTAAAAGTTCGATCTTCACAAATAGTATAAATGTTTGGTCGAATATAAGACGTAATATACGTATAAGACGTTACGTAATATACGTCTAGTCAATAAGGAAGGCTAAATTGCCGAAACGTTGGCCGTCAGCCAACAAAACCTGCTACAACGAGAACGAAGACCTATACCAACCTCGCGTCAGCTCAACAAGATCAGTTTATAAGATCGTATAAATAAATTCATATAAATAAATATGTGAAATAAACAAACAAATAAATATATATTTATTACTTTAATACTTGGATGGCCTGTCTTCACTGGTTGGGCGGGCCCCCGCAAAATTTCCCTTCTCTGGAGATTTGTCAGTTCGGCCATTGCGGCTACCTGAGGTCCTAAGGACAGCCTAGGAAAAGTCTGCTCCAGGTCGCCACCACTATAGGCAGTCGCCGCCCTTGCGGAACAGAGGAAGATTTGCCACCATGCGACAGGTTTGATACCAGGACGGTGGTGGATCTTGGTATTGGTTCACTCATAGCTGCAGTTCCTGATGGAAACGCTGGACTTCTCAGCCTGGGAGACCCTGCTGGAGTGATGAATCTCCCTGGTGTACATCTCAGCCCGGCACCCAGAAACACCTTCCAGCCACGATGAGGTGGTAAACCGTTGGCAGGTGTGCATACGTAGGTAAATATGTATGCATACATATATATATATATACATTTTATTTCGTATACAACAGGTCTTATTGCCTTTTTATTTTACATTTGCTTTGCAGTATATAATCTATAATTTCTACATACACTATCTAAAGGATGAAATCCTCGGCGTTGATCAATTCCTGTAAGATGCGCCGTGCATTGGACTTCATTAAGCATCGTTGGAGGTGACTGAATACATATTATTCGTTTAGAATTACCCGAGGTGCCTTACTGTTGCACCGAGCCAATGTTGTTATTCTTCCAGATAAGTTTGGTACCAATTTGCCCACCCCAGGGGTTTGGAGGACTGGTGTGCCTAGGGCGCGCGGGTCCACCGCTTGTGTATTGCAGGTCCGACCACTGCGCTACAGACGTCCCTATGCATGTATACATATATCTTTGCGCAAACTGCACATAAATGCTTACAGTCGGCTATTTTCATATAAAATTTTCAATTTTCATCTACGATCAATGATCGCATGGAATTTCTTCACGGTGATGTACACATTTTCTGACATCTATTGAAACATTTCAAGCAATAATATTCCATACATCAGCTGCATCCGGTGCACGTAAAATTGGCACATACTGAGAATCACTCCAGCACGTACTACGGCGTATTTTCGATCGAGTTGCTCTATGATAGCCTTGCAAGATCCTACAAACCGTCTCCATTTTTTCGAACTACTGCTGCTGTGTTCTTCAACGAAACGAGAACTGGACAGTATCGAAGCACCATAGAATCCACTATAGCACACAGACGTTCATTTTAAAGGCATTCAGTAAGCTTTTCAGCATGCGCTCGTTATATTTCTTTCGTTCATTTAACCACGAACAGCTTCCTGTGGTTATAGTTTCCAATCGCTTCCGGTTTTGAAAGTCTAGAAGAAATAGTAGTGTCGTGAACATGGAAAGCACAATAATTTTCTTCTTCTTATCTTTCCTTTTGAACACTGCTATGTTTTTCCAATTCTGCTGCTCTACCAACTATCGACTACCCAGCTTTCAATTGATGACTTGTTTGGGAACCCTTTTTGTGGTTTTCTCACATCTGCGAATATGATAAGTCGTTCTCTTGAATAAGTTTTCAGACAAGGGAGGGGTTGTGTGCCATCCGCCGAAGTGGAGGTACCTTACTTCATCTAGCAAATCAGAAATGAGCTTCAAAACTACATAGGCGCTAAATCTTCAATTTTAGAGAGATCGCCATCGGTATATACTATAACTGTATAGGTGTAGCCACTTCTTGTCCATAGTTGGAATAGCTTCAGTTCGTACTTGTGCCTCGCATGCAGGATACAGTGACCGAAGACGACTCTCTCTCTAAACGATACATTGGAATCGTCAATTTATACGTACTTTCGAAGCCTGTATATGAGTAATAGTTTATTTTGATAAGATTGATTAGTTGTTTAGTTTTGT